GCGAAGCATGGAGCAGCACTACCCCCACCCATGCTTCGTTCTACTTGGGCTCCGTCCGACTCTGCGCCGCACGGTCTCCGACGGATCCCCAGTTTGGGCCACGTGTGGCGTTGGGCGCGTGGCAGTTCCGTCTTTCGTCGGGTTGGCTTTTGGATGTATCATATACCTGGAACCTGAGTGACCCCTGTTTTGGAGGGTCAACTATCCCAAATATGGCCTTTTCCTGTCAAAAAAGGGGTCAAACGGATTCTAGGTGTATATATATAATATATATATATATCAACTGGTGGTTTTCAATCTGCAGCTAGTCTCCAATAACATTGCAACATGGCTTCTGACAACCGTTCCAGGAAGCCTGGAGCAGTATCGGCCCCCTCCAAGGTTCGTTCCAACCGTACAATTTCCCACGTTGCGCTTGTGGCACATAACGCGTGTCGGCCATGCCTTGACTGTCTGGCGCATGTACTGTGCACATTTTGGACACCCAACCCCATCGTATCAGCCCCGCAGCACACCACCCAACACACGTCCGCGAAGCATGGACCAGCACTACCCCCACCCATGCTTCGTTCTACTTGTGCACTGACCCGGAGCGGCCTACCATGATGCTTGCGATGCGACCATGTGCTCAACGCAACCATGTCTGCCGCGTGCATTCTGCACATTTTGGACACCCAAGACCATACCTCAGCCCCGCAACACCGCTCCATTCACCTTTTCACGTGCCTCCGCGAAGCATGGAGCAGCACTACCCCCACCCATGCTTCGTTCTACTTTTGCACTGCCCCAGAGTGATGCTTGTGACCCTCGCCAGCTCCCATCTTCCCTCCCCAGTCCCTCCCCACCCACGCGCCTCCGGTCTCGCTCCCCTCCATCTTCCCTCCCCAACCCCATCCCCACCCATGCGCCTCCAGTCTAGCTCCCCTCCATCTTCCCTCCCCAGCCCCGTCCCCACCCGTGCGCCTCCCGTCTCGCTCCCCTCCATCTTCCCTCTCCATCCATGCGCCTTTCGTCTCGCTCCCCTCCATCTTCTCGTCCCCACCCATGCCCCTCCCATCTCGCTCCCCTCCATCTGTTCCCTCCCCAACCCCGTCCCCACCCATGCGCCTCCCGTCTCGCTCCCTCCCTTCCTTCCCCTCCCTTCCTTCCCCTCCCTTCCTTCCCCTCCCTTCCTTCCCCTCCCTCTTCCTTCCCTTCCCTCTTCCCTTCCCAACCCCGTCCACCTCCACCTCCATCTTCCGTCCCCGACAACGTAAGCTTTTCCTCGCTCTCCCCCGGCACTAGCGACTAAACGAGACTGAACCCAAGCATCGGAGATGCTTTTGGGAAAAAAAAAAGAGCCAGGAAGGAGAAGAGTGGAAAAAGAGCCAGACCGCCAGACCTCCGCCACTCCAAGCACCCCCACGGCACTGTGTTTGTTCCACAGGTCGCTCTTGTCGCTCCAATCCCCTTTCCACTCTCCTGTCCAGCACTCCGGAACCGCGACAGGCACTCGCTCTCAGACCAGTTTGGGGTCCGAAAACAGCGAGGGCATTGGTCCCGGCGATTTTGGTTCCGGGCATTGGTCCCTGACAGGCGCGCGCGCATGAATCCTCCGATGGCCAAAGAGAAGAGCCCCTGAAAGAGGTCCAGCTTGGGCGTTTGGGTCACATCAGATTGAAGCCCCATTGGCTATAGTACCTCCCTGGAACTAACATGGAAGTGGAGAATGGCCCCTTGGAAGACCATTGGAAAACTACTAAACAGGTGGTTTTCCACTTCCATGTTAGTTTTTGGGAGTGTAGTACCCTCCCTCATTCTACCAAAGAATCGAAACAAAACAGAAAAGACCTCGCGGGCGCAACCCTCTTTCCCAAACGCAACTTCCCTCCAACAGATCCGACGATCCGAAGATTTCCGAAGACTTGGCAAGGCACCAAAAGATGTAAAGAACTTAAAGACCTGGAAACCCAAACAACCAGAAACAAATGGATGTTCCAATATGGCAATTGAAATCCTTTACATAGGAAACCCTATCAAAATACGACACTCCCGAAAACTCACATGGACCCTTTAGAATGGGACTGGTGTTTAGGCGGCTGTTTTCCTCTACAAGCCAGTGGTTTTCAGGGTCCATGTTAGTTTTCCACGGGGTAACTACCAGGACCCCCCAAAAAAGGGGGTTCGATTGATAGCTCCTGTTCAAGGTGATTCGGGGTGTCCACAACAACCACCCAACTCCTGGTAGTGGTCACCAAATAGATATAGAGTGGCACAGTGTCCAATACATGCCCTACGTGGGGATCTACTTGTCTATTCTATTTGGGCGTCTTTTTTTAACCGTGTACAGTTATATAGGGTTCGACTCGTCTTTTTCCACCTCTGAAAATAGATCCTTCAAGCAACTGATCACAGCCCAGCCCGGCCCAAACCAACCAAAACCAGCTGTAGACCTCCCTCGGCTCCAACACCAGCAGCATCCCCCAGCTCCTCTGCCCCAAGGGTTGCGGATCTGAATCATCTTGTAGTCCTGCAGCGTCTCGCCCGTTTTCGGCGTCGTTTTCTCATCCGTTGAACCTCGTAGTCTTCTTCGTCGAACCTCGTTGGGGGCGGCCCCAGTCGGGCGTGAGCATCGTTGAAATGGGGTGCGACCGGGCGTGACCTCCAAAAGAGTCTCCAAACCATGCCAATTCGATATGAATTCATCTCGTCCAGGACCCACGGGAGTTGGGTGGGATGGACGAATCACATCCTAAAGGAGCTATCAGTAGGAAACCCCCTAATTATAGGGGGTCCTGGATTGTATAATTAGACTACTGTAGTCATGGCCTTGACTTGGTTCATCAGCCCAGTCCTTGCACCGAGGGCCCTAAAGCTGCTCTAGACTCTGCAGAATGACTCTATACCGTCATGGTCTCCCTGCCTCCCTCCCCCGGCCCCAAGTGTTTCATGGATTTCATCCACCTGTCCCACCCCGACACCCCAACCTTCCCGCCGAGGCCCAGGAACCCGTCGTTGACCTTGCGTACCTCGCGGAGGACTGGAAAGCGGGGGGGGGGCCAGGAGCCCGCAAGGAGAATCAAGGAAGTGCTGTTGCTTTGGGGGCGAAGGTCCTTCTTGGGCGGCTTTGTATACAACTTCTCCACATCAATCACATCCCAGGTCCCAGCTGCTTCCTGGCTGGACGACCCTACACGCCCTACACTAGTTATGGATCTCTATTGGACACCCATTGGAGGCGCCAGGTACTGGGACATGTCTTTTTGGCATGTCCAACCAGATCACTTGGAGCCTCCAACCAGACCTTGACCCACCCACCACCAACCCCCCTCATCCTCCCATCCTCCATCCCGGGGGCCCGGGACCTGCAGAATGCCTCAACGACCAGGTGATCGGATTCCGGATGTAAAGAGCGGACCCGACGACTGGACCAGACGACGAGACCCGCGCAGACCTCGACCTACCTCGGAACCCCCCGTAATTGGCGCCCACATGCGGGCCAGATCGTCGTCATGTTGAGGTGGGTAAGAGTAGAACCCGAAGGAAGTTCTCCAGCCATTGGATGGCTGTAAGGCTAGACGGAACGAACCACTAGAGGCAAGTGTCATGGTCAAAATCAACTGTCCATGCTGAAGGAGTCATCTTCATCTGCCCATGAGTCTGCGATGTGAAAAACTCCAAGCGAGTTTTTGCAGTCCACGTCTTTATATCCTGTGAATCTTGCGTCTGTCTTGAAGATCTTGGTCTCGGTCTTGCAACATGTCGTCAACAAAAAAGTGGCAGCTAGGACTCCGGACTCCGGACCATTGAGGGCCCACAAGGGATGGTTCATGGACACCCCTCAACCTCTGAGGGACTCCTGATAAACAACGCTTGGGGGGTCCTGGCACAACATGAACTTCAGCGTTTTCAGGGTGGCTTCCCCATCAACGACGCCATTCCCACTGCGCCACCCTCGCGTGCAGCGCGTCGGGTATCTTCCGATCCGGAGATGGGCTATAAGTCTGCTGTGAAAGAACTCCTTCATGAAAACGGATTCAATGGAAAATCATGGAAAATCCAACAGACTGGTGGATTAAGTCTATAGTCCAGTTCTTCTTGGTAAAACCAGAACACTTCCAGCCCATCCAATAACTAGCAGAGCGATGGCTCAAAATGGCATCCCAGACTCAACCTCTCTTCAACACACAAAACAACGACAAAGCATCTCCACTAGCATGTGGATTCTGATGCTATGTCTCTTCCTTCAGACCATCAGACCGGCCTGCTTCGCACCTCTCGGACGCGCAAGGTCCGAAGGTCCGCCGTTGGCGCCACCGCGGGAGTCTCTGTCATCGTGTCTCGTACGCATTCTCCGGGTCTCCGGGCTGTAGGCATGTCCGGTGACGAGCCCATCTTTTCCACTCGCCCCGGAGGCTGAGAGGATACTCCCTGGCAGAAAGGCGCGGCGTCCGAAACGGGTTCTCCGGACCATGTTGGACCACGTTGGCTCTGTGGAAGGTGGAGAATCGCCCTCCCGCTGACAGCCAACTCCTTTTTGCCTGGACCCCCAGGAGTTGGGTGGTTCATGGACACCACTTGACCTCTTTTCGGGGCTTTGGTCCATGGACACCCGGACTCCGTGGCGCTGGTGGTCCATGTTCCGGGCTGTTGTTTTCTGGAATCTGTTCGGGCTTTGGGCAGGTGAACATGAAGGTCTTTCGTGTCGCACTCGTCCAAACCACCACGAGAAACCGGCACCATCACAAACCAACCAGTCGACGGAGATCGTTCGATCGTTCGACCACGTTCGACACCGGCACCCTCCGGCTGCTCCATGCGCGCGCCTAGCGAGTGGTATTTCCGGAGGATCTCAAACCTCCAAGCGGCTTGGCGAAGAAAGCGAGCGGCTTACGTCTTCTCTCTGAGGAAGCCCCTGCTTCCAAGCATCAGAACTGCAGCATGGATTCCAACCCATCTCCAGGCACGATAACTCTAACGGTTTCCTTCTCCATCTCTCCCTGCATCGAAGTGACATGGTGTCATTGTCCACGGTTTCTTTGGTGGAGTACAAGCCACACTTGCGCTTGTCCTTTGGATCGTCGAAGTTCTTGAGATCCTGACGATTTCGGATTCGCAAGAAGAACGGAGAACCCAAGAACGGATGGGTTGATCGGAGATCGACCCCCCCTGACCGTGAACCAGAGAGGATCCTTGCTTTTTCAATCCTCAGAGGTCTTACATAGCCATGTAAGACGGGGGGGTGTTGGGGTACACCACACATTCCTTCAGATTCTCCTCTCTCTCTACTTCCTGCTATCGGCCGCCAAACAGGCTCGGCCGGCCGCCAGGCCCACGCGGACGCCGCTCCGGGTCGAAACGAAAGCCCCTCCGTCCTGCCGCTGCCACTGGCTCTTGGAGTCGTTCCGCGAGAACTGTCGCCTCGGAAGAACGCCAGGGCAGTCGTTCCGGGGTTGGAGTGATGCAATTGGACGATCTCAAGTCTGAAGTGCCAGTTCATGGTCAAGAGGTGCCATCAATTGGATCCAAAAGCAGGCCTCCAAATCCTTGTTGCTTCTGGATTTGTGGCACAGGATGGAAGGTCTTCTGGGAAAAAAAAAAACAAAATCATGCTCCCTACGTTCGTATCAACATGCGGGTTTCCCTGCTTGGAATCATCTCCCAAGGAACACCACAATTAAAAACGGTAAGTGGGACTCATGCTGAACGCGCCTTTCTCAACGACTCAACGATGTCACTTTTGACAAAAAATATATTAGTAATGCAAAAAGTAAACCTATTGAAAATGGTCGTGGTCGGCTCTCAGAAAACTGTTTACAGGCTCAAGAAACCAAGGGGGTGCTCATATATGGAAATGTGTGGACATGTTGTTTTCTTCAAAACATCCAGCAGTCCAAGGAGAAGAAACAAACAAACATTTAAAAAAGGAACAAATGTGAGGTATGGGCGAATTCTCCCTGGCTTCCTTGTCCCCCCCGGAACCCCTAAACCCCTTCCCATTCACCCTAAACCCCACCCGCCCCGCCCCTTCCCCTTCCCCACTCCCTCCCTGTCGCCGTCTCCGGTGCCCCCCACGCCGGATCTCCGGTCATCGCCCGGATCGCCCAGATCGTCTGGCCCCCCTGAGGCCGGACCGCTCGGTCGGGCCGGGCAGGTCGGGGCGTGGCACGGGTTCCAACAGAAGTTGAAGGACCTGAACTAGACTATCCCAGTAAGGTAACCCCAGGTTACGGTCCTATTTACGGTCACTGGCTACCTCTCTTGGTTTCTTTCCGCCGATGTTTCGGTGGTGGAATTCGATGCGACCCACCCACTGCGAGGAGTGAAAGCTGGAGGGGTGAAAGCTTCGAAGCAGTGTGAGGCGGTCTATTGCACCAGGGATGTGCTGTCAAGAGGGATCAGCGGACTAAAAAAGACATTGACATGTCTCTCAGTTTGTCGCAGGCACGGACACCTGTGTTTTTTTGCACAGTCACCACGAGTATTTGTATCACTTCCTGTGAACCTGTTAACAGGTTCTCTCTTCAGCTGTGTTGACTGTGCATGCGTCCAAATACTTGCCATGCACTTCATGTCCCGCGGTGTTGACTCTTTCTGTTCACCGGTGAAAAGACCCGACGGGGAGCCTCGAGGGCCGAGTAGCCACCGCAGAACTTGGCAAAGGCCTCGGCCGGCGATGGCGAGGGCAGAGAAAGCGATGCGAACAGAGTCTTCCAAGAGAAGAAGCTACCTATAGGGAATCACACTGAGCAAGAAGCTATACTAGTAGGTGTGATTCCCTATATACTACTAGCAAGAAGCTACTAAGTTGGAGGCCATCGCTAGTAGGTTGGAGGCCATTAGTATTAGTAGCCAGGACGCTTGGTAACAAGTGAGCAATTCAATCCGTCTTCTCACGCGAGAAGAGGTCTGTTGATCCGCCTTCTCCAGGAGCATCACATAGAGCTCATTGTGCTTCCTGAGACCGTCACGGGACGACGGGACGTGAACAGCTGAACATCCTCACCCGCCCACACGCTTGGGCGGAGTGATTTGGTGACGAGTCAGGAGAGCACGGAGCTCAGAGCTCAAGGACTGAAGCTGGCAGCAAAGCCACAAAAGGGGAGTTGCTAGTACAGTACAAGAAGTGCAAGGAGCGAAAAACATTCACTGGGTCGAGTGAAGCAGGTGTACGGAAGCTGGTGTAGATGTCCCAACCATCCCCTATGTGCTTTTGCAAAGAGAGCAAAAGTTATGTGGGAGGCAATGGCCATTCATGGACCCAATCCTCGATCTACTGGATCGCGCAAGGGATCTTTGAAGCCCAAAAGAAGGATCAAAACTCGAATCCTCTGGAGACCTAACTCCACCTGGCCCTCCCCCTGGGCCGCGGTGTTTCTCCACGCGTGGCCCGCTCCGGTGCTCCCCCACCCTCAGTCCAAGGCACGGCTTGCTAAAGAAGGGCTTCGGCGTGCCGTCATGGTCGAAGCTCGCCTGGCACGGTGCTGGCGCTCTGCACGGTGCGGTGCCGCAACTGGCGGTCCAGCAGGGCCCCAGGTGGGGTGCCGCACGGCCCGGCGCTCGTACGTGAGATATACGATCTTACAAGGGGTGGTGAATGGCCACCCCTCAACCTCTAAGGGACGATCATATAATCAGCACCGCTTGTGGGGTCCTGGTATACATGCATTGATATACACTGCACTGGGACTAGAATGAAGACCAGGAACATGTTGTTTGCATGTGGGGATATGGCCCCCACGAGAAAAATCCCCCAAAACCCTGCCATGCCTATCCTCGTCTTGAGCATTTCAGAAACTTCATCCAAATGTCGATGAAAGATCAACGGCCAGGCATCACGGCATCCTGCTCCATCGGTCAACCCATCGGTCACGGCACCTTTCTTTCCAAGACCCGAGACACGTATCAAGACCGAAGATGCTCCACTGATCATGAAGATGAAACTAACCAGGACCCCCTAAGGGGTGTCTGATAACAGCCCCTTAGAGGTTAAGGGATGTCCATTGACCACCCCTTGGGGGTGCAGGAATAGAACCTGTAGCCGAAAGAGTTTCTTCACAAACAGTTTTTGATGCTCAGTGCCTTTCCTTCCTCGCAAACCTGGACGCACCGACAGAGTCCTGCAATCGGCGACATGAGTCGCCTTGTTGCAGGGGATGAAGTCATCAATGGTGATGATCTCCCACTTCTCCTCCATCATTGCGCGACAAGGACAAGATGGGCAGGCCCTGCGTGTAAACATTGTATACCGAGAAGAGAAGGCTCTGCAGATGCAGGAGTCTCTTACGAGAACTGGGTCTCGTCGGAACTGATATGTTTTCGGATGATGTGGCCGGCAGCTGAGTACACGGGATTCAGGCAAATGCAACCGGTTCAACTGACCGTCCCTATTTACGTGGCACGTGTGGGCCTGTCAGCTTAAACCCTGCTGAGCTTCTGCCGCCATTCCCTTGCTCCTTGAAACCTGACCGACACTCCGCGAACCCCGCAGTTCCGCCTTTCTGGGACAAGCGATCCCGCTCCGGGGAGGGCACCCCACGCCACCGCTCGCACCAGCTCCGGAAGCTTCACCGAGCTGCGCGAAGCTCCGCGGCCGGGGTTTGGAGCAAGAAAAAGGCCGCTCCGCTGTACAGGATCCTCCACCGGCTTAAAGAAACATGGGTTGCTCTGTTGAGGTTGCCCACGCAACTTACAAAACCAAAGAGAACCTCTCCCCTTTGAAGGGCCTCACCTGGCCATCTGGGAGGACCGTGCCCAGTCCTTTCAGGGGCATGACTTTCAGCTCAGCTGCGTTCAGGTTCATTGTGGTTGTTCTTAGTGTCTTATCATAGCCACCCATGTCATATGAATGGGTTGGGAAATATCCTATTATCACTAACAGTGGATGATGATGGTTATTAAAGGCTTTTCTCACAACAATTGCTTATCAACTGTAACATACACGACAAACAGGAAGACAATGCACCAAAAAAAGACATACAGCAACATTAAAAAAATAGCCAACACAAACATACACAAGAAACAAAAACAACATACAAAACGAACCAATGCTAAAATATACAACAAACAAAATGAACAGCAACATACAAAAATAGCAAACAGCAACAGACACGACAAACAAGAAAAGTAAGAGAATGTACAAGCAAGGCCAATTGGCAGCATACACAACAACAAAACACAAAAGCAAACGACAACATACACGACAAACAAGAAAATAACATAGAAGAATCAACGACAACACAACACCAAGCACAACACAACAAAAAAAACAACGCAACAGAACAAAGCAACACAACACAAAACAATACAATAACATAACACAACCCAACCAACCAACCAACCAAAAAGAAAGAAAGAAAGAAACACACAAACAAACAAACAAACAAACAAACAAACAACAAGAAAAGAAAGAAAGAAAGAAACAAACAAACAAACAAATAGAAACCAGAAAACAATCAAACAAAAACAAAAAGAACAAACAAAACAAAACGCAAACCAAAACACCACACACGGCTTATTCGTTCCGACAGTGCCGACGCGTCGACTTCCACTACGTATACGTACACCAATTGCATGTGGAGCGGTGGGTTTTGGTCTTTAGTGTCAACTGCTCCGAGAAAAGATTGAGGCCCAGTCAGGTGGCCAGATTCTGTCACCCAGCAACACCTCCTCGGGCTCGACATGGTTCACGAGACGCCGAAAGAGGCGATCGCAGCGCTTGGCCGCGCGAGATGGCGCGGCCAGCCAGGTGGACCAGATCGGTTCGGCCTCACCGGCGAAACGCCACGAGGCACCCGGTGCCACTGATGTCCAGCACGTGAGGTGCTTGGGCGTTGGCGGTCGTGACTTCTGGACATGGCAAAACGATGCAACATGTCATTACAGTAGAAGGGGAGTTGAAGGAGATTTCAACAGTCTCCTCATGACGTATCACTCAAAGCTGCATCCGAGAATCGTATTCTCAGTATTCAAGCCAGATCCACATGGCATGAGACCGGCCACAGCTCGCAGCCGGAGCTTTGCTGCTTCAGGGCACAGACCAAATAGATCACCTGAGTTCGAACGAAGTCATGAAGTCATCTTCCCCTCGACTTCCATCCACCGCCATCCACTGGCCAGCCGACCAGCGGGGACGAGTCGCGTTTCCCTCCATGCGCAAGTCGCTGTTCCGCCCGAACAACACACGACCTCCCTTTGGCGCGGAACTCCGCTCCGTCACTCGCCCCCCGCCCCCCCCGGGGAGACAGCGAGCGGCATAGGTCGACAGGAAAATGGCACCAGACCTGCGGCGGAGACGGGGAAAACCAACGGCATGGCGCTGGCGGTTTTCTGGAGAAGGAAAAACAGAGGACCGAGGACGTCATGTGCACCCACCTCCAAAAACTGGACCTCGAACATCCGAGCCATACGCCGGATGATAAGACGCCCGTTTTGGATAGTGTGCGACGATGATGTGAGATGAAAAGACATGTCCTGAAAACCCAACGGATTTTCTGATCCCCGAGATCATGACTGCGTGACTGCTTGACCGGCAAAACACCACCTGCCCATTGGGGTTGACCGGCAGTTCTTCTTACCGGTACAAACTGCCTAGCTCCACAGCTCCACTACAGGTGACAAGATCCTCCAAGGATGCAGCCAAGTGTTCAGATCATTACAGATCCATACAGGAACCTTCAGGTAGTTTCACTCAATATAAAAATCTCATTTGATCCCTTTGGATCACCAAAAAGGCACCCCGTGCTTCTTCTTCTTCTTCTTCTTCTTCTTCTTCTTCGCGTTGTGCAGGCGTCTTCGACCGAGCCATCTCGGGGCGTTTTGTCGGAAGCTTCCCCGAGGCCGCGACCATTTCGGCAGGGAGAAGCGGCAGCAGGTATAGATCAAGACCTGCGGTCCAGGCGGTCCGGGGCTCCGGGGCGTGTCCCGACGGTCCGAGGTGCTCAACCGTTCAGAACCGTGTGGGAGGTCTGAACACCGGTTCCCCGGGCATCCCCCCCACAGCAAATCCCAGCCGAAACTCGCCCCCCAAGTCGTTTCCGGTGGTCCTTTGCCACCGTTCGGTGAATGAAGGGTGCCGGCGCAGGGATCGGCAGGCTGTCCCTGGCTTTTGGGGGTTTGGTGACCAGATGTCGTCATTGTGGTCACCACCATGTCACCACGCCCGAAGACGATCAGCAGCAGCAGGTCTCATGTCACTTCAGAAGTCGCTTTGGCCCGGCAAAATCCAAGTATACACCAGAGTCATATAGTAAAGTGACTACTTCAGCAATTTCCATAGGAAAAGGAAATGGTATGAAATGGTACATGATGAGCGTCATTGCCCAAAGAACCCACCTCACCTACCCCCTCCGCCCTGTAAAAAAGAAACAAAAACTCTTCCGTCGAGCGGCGAGAGGAAGCAAGGTGATGAAGATCTCAATGATCGCCGGATCGAAGCCGTTCACTTTCCTCTTCAGGCACAGGAAGGGACCCCCGTGAACTGCGGAGGACATCGCCCGCTACCGGGCGGGCGCCCTCGTGAAGAAGGAAGATCAACTGAATGAACTGTGCATGTCACGCCTGGAGTTCATAGAAAATGCATTGAACTGAATGAACTGGGCTGGATACCCCTCTTTGCATTCTCCTGTGATCTGATGGATGCTTTGAGAAGTGTGTAGGGGAAGTTTCCTCGTGCGTAGTATATACCTCAGCAGTTCCAACAGGGGTGCCGGACGAACGGAGGATAAGGGTGCCCTTGTCACATCCACTCACTGGATGGGACGAACCAAACCACCCCAAGCTCTGTGACTCCTGGTATATATGTCATATGAGTCTATATGATGCCTGAGAAACAACCTCTTGTGCATCCTCAAAAAAGAATGGTGCGACCCCTCTTCCGCGAGCCTTTCAAACGCCCTGCCCTGCTCTGAACATCTGGCCCAAGGTGCATCGGGAACTCTCCCGTGGAGGAGAGGAAGACCGCCTGACCGACACCCCAAACCGCCGAACCGCCGAAAACGTCCGCTCTCACGAACCAAGAGGAGCCAACAAACATCCACAAATGCTCGGAATCCCCAAGTGTACTGGGAGTTGGATTGCAAAAGAATCTTTTCACTGTCACTTTAACCTTGGGTCACAGAAAAGCCCATGTCAGGCGGGAACGAGTGGGATGATGGATTCTTCACCCTCCAGTTCCATCCAGCAACTTGGACCTGGTACACGCTTCGAACTCACTCCCAGCGCTGGGAGTGACAAGCCACCTGAAGAAGCTGAGTAAGCAGGCGCTGTTACAAACCTTCTGGAAGCTTCCCAACAAAACGTTTCAAAGGCGGCCCTCGAAAGCTTGCTCATCTGCTCCTACACACATACCAGGACCTTCCAACAGGTGGTTTTAGAAGCCTAACAGGTGGCTTCTGGGCACCTGTTGTCACCACAAAGCACCTGTTGGAGGGTCCACCCAAGCCAGCCGCCTCACCTGTCCACGGTGGCGTGCGCGTTCCCGCAGCCTGGATGGTCCAGGGAATGGCCAGAGCCAGGAAGACCTTGGCCCGTCGTGACCGTCATTGTCCGCGTTCAGGAGTGCTGTTCAGGAGTTTCGCTTCAGGCTTCATCTTCCCAAAAAAGTGACCCTCATCCCCACGAAAGTTAGCCAAAATACAACACACCTCCCAAAATATCAAAAAATAACATGTCTTGATGGTGAAGCAAATCCCCAGTTCGGTGGTGCCCTTCTTCGTTTACATCCAATTGATCCCACTCCACGAGTTCCATCCCCACCCCGCTGAAATGCTGTCAGTTCACGTTCTGAACGTTGGCTCCCAAGGCATTCGCCACCGCCATGCCAGCCTGACCCCGAAGGATGCCAGCCCGAAAACCGCGCGTCCGACTTTTCTTGGTGGGAAGAATTGCCGTGCCAGTGGCCAAAACCCCACAGATCTCAGGTCTGCATCGGCGTCGTGTCTGTATCAGGTGAGCCTCCCTACCATCTCCAACCCCTCCTTGCAACCCACCCCAAAGACTCCCAAAAAGTCGGGCCCCTAACCCACCAGCCACCCTGGCACAGTCTCCAAGCACCGCCACCTCCGATACTACGCCCCCCCCTCTTTGCGCCGCCTTGCCCTGGCGCGCGACGCAGATGCCGCTGAAGACGTTCGGGAAGGAGGTCCCGGCGGCGGCCACGGTGAAGCCCAGGACGTTGTTGGGGATCCCGAAATCGGCGTGGATCCCGTCCTCTTCCAGGGTCGCCAGGTTCCGGAGACGGGTGTTTCGGGACGGAGCGAAGAACACGGGGCGGGGGCAGGCGGGGGCAGGCTCTTCAGCCAGTGGGCAGGGTGCAAAGAAGGGAGTACCAGGATTCCACCATGGAAGAATGGGGGAATGGGCTTGTGCTTTTGTTTTATTCGATCAAAAGGTTCAAACAAAAACAAAGAAGAAGAAGAAGAAGAGGCACAAAACATCTTCACTTTGGAAGGCACTGGGTCTGTGGCTTCATCCTTTCGCCCAAAAGGACCTCGCTCTACAAAATCGCCAGACGAGGACCTCGCTGGACGACGTCAAACAGGGCCGAGGGGCGCAGGCGCTCACGACCAGTGAGGAGAGAATCCCCAGCCAGACCATGCTCATCACAAATGCCAAGGGATAGAAGCTCTGCGTGTCCTCGGCTGGCAAACGTCATGAAAAAGCCCAGACACTCCATGTCTGTCATATATCCCATTGACCCCTCTGGCACCACCCCAATGTAGGTAAATATACCAGTCCCATGGAGTGTCTGGGAAGTGTGTCCCCAAAAATTGGGGGACCCGTCCGATGCCTGGTCCGATTCGAGGTGATTCATCAGTGTAACATGAAGAGTCCGCCTTCTTTGTTTGGCACACCAAGTTCTGAACGCTTCCCTAGTTCGGGGGCGAATCTGACCCTCCAGAAACGGCCTCGGCGGTCCCCCTGATCCGACCTGACACCCTGCACGGAGTTTCTTCCTTTAAAGCGAAGTGTCGGGACAGTCCATGTCCGGGATGGTGGCGCCAGCCAATGACTTCACCGGAAACTGGAACCAGGCGATCCACTCCATCAGAAAGGTGTAGTATTTCCTCAGAAAAGGGCCGCTAGCGCCTAGCGTGGGTTCTTTCTCAAGTGGAAAGCATGGCTTTTTGGGCCTGTGTTTGAACTCATTCGCGCGGGCGTGCGGGCGGCTCCAGCCTCATGTGACACATGCCCAGTCTGCAGAAGTCCAAAGACTCGAACTTGGGCATTTGGCGCGAAGTAAAGGAGTTACGTCAGACCAATTCAAATTTGGTTCGATGGTCTGGAGCTTCCCTTTTGCGTTCTCACCCAGTCAGACCATCGAATCATAGTTCTTGGACTTCCAGGGCGAGCTGAAACAAAGCTCCGAAAGAGAAGGACTCCAGCTGGCCGTCGCCTACATCACCTCGTTCTCATGCCTTTCTCCCCGAAAGAAGGCCTATAGGCCAAGTTACGAAAAAAAGACGCTTGGTTTGAGCGAAACACCTCGAGGCGAGGCTCAAACTCCCTTCATACCCCTCCTCTTCGGGACCATCGAGTCCAATACCAACGCCCGCAGCTCGATACACAGTCCGAGCGCATCGACGCGATGATGATGGGTCTTCAGTCTCCCAACAAGCATGATGGTCAGCATTCTCCAGGTATCTTAGGGTATACCGTATATGTTCTTGAAGAGACCTGAAGGAAGCATGCCAGGACCCTCCAAGGGGTGTCTATTCCTTCAGACATCCTTTTCTTGACCAGCAATGCATCTGCGGAGTCTCCCAGAAGATGACACGGACTCGGAGTCCGACTGGGGAGTGAAGCAAAGATCCTACGTCGACGTACCTTTTTCTTCTGGCAATCCCAAGAACTATAGTTAACCCTGTATCTCCGAGAGAATAAAGAAAGTTCCATGTTCGAAACCATGCACTTTTTCACGAAAAAAACACACATCAAGTCGATAGAAGTCGTCAATCAAAAGCCTCCCCGGGTCCTTTGGATCCCAACCTCTCCCCCCCCGCCACTCAGCTCGCTCTTCCCCGTCTCCTCCCGTCTCCTCCCGTCTCCTCCCGTCTCCTCCCTCCGGTCTACCGAGCGACGCCCTCGGTCGGTCGGCCGTCTTCCTCCGCGAGGCCTTGAGGCACTCCCGCAGCTCCTGGTTCCTCGGTTCCCCCCGGTAGGTCGCGGCGGAAGGCGGAAGGCCGAAGGCCGGGACGTGCGCCGGAGGGCTCGCACGAGTCCGTTGAAGCCGCACCGGCACGGACTGAGCGGCGTTCATGAATAAGGCTGGTGATGTTTGAATGGCTGGAGACAAAATACATAGTGTGAAGACATTGAAAAACTTTGTTTTCAGAAATGACACCTTTGATCCAGTGAAAACGACTCGCCAGGAGGGCTCAACGCTTTTCAACTCATCGACTCGCCCGGTCCCGCAGCTCACTCGCCCGTCTGGGCTTGGTCCGCCTTCAGCCGAGGGGCCAACTTTGGACCAGGTCGCACGAGGCGTTGGAGATGGTCTTGGACATCTTGGACATCGGACCTGGACGGCGGAAAGCTCAAGCGGAAGGACCGTCTGGCCCGGGGTGGGGTCGAAGCGAGCTGAGCGGCGAAGCGTATCTGAAGCTCGAATCAGTACTACTACGACGACTGCCTGCAAATGCTCTACCAAATTGTTTACCCCACCTAGTAGTCTTGCAGCTTTTACAGTCATCATGATTCATCATAGATCTTTGAACATCTCAATGTCCTCGGCAGCTGGAACCAGTCTTCTCAACACACACCCTGCCCGCCACCGAGGCACTGTCGCCCAAACGCTCGTGTCCGGGGGTGACCTCCAGCGTGACGTCGTTCCCAAACTTGTCCTCCCCGGGCGCGAGCGCTGGGAACCGCGAGCGCGCCAGCGCGCGCCACTCCCCCAACAAAGGACTACCGTAGGACCGGCCTTTGCCTGAAAGGAAGGGCATCCACCAGGACCCCCCAACATTGTTGTCCATGAAATAGCCCCGAACAAAAAGACCTCGTCAGACGAGGTGTCCAACGATTTAACTGAGGCAACTCCGGTCCTGGCAGTTGCGTCATTTTTCGTGCCGGAATCTCTTGGAGTCTCTGGGAGTCCAGCGACTTTTCGCCACTCCCAGTCGCCGTGGTTTCCGTTTGATCTCGATTCCCCAGGCCCAGGACGCTGCCACCGACCCTTTGAAAAAAAGGTAATCCCCAGTCCTGGACGTGCAGGAAGATGCCCTGCTTGCTGGGTTCACCTCACTCCAGCCGACCGCAACGTTGGAGTGCGCCCCGACGGCCCGGTTACGCGTGGTTTTGCGTGTGACGCGTGGAGGTAAGGTGACATAACGGCGGAGAGGGCGCAGATTCTTCGGTTTCAGAAGGGGTGAATCCTGCGGGGATTTCGCCCCTTTGGTTTGGGATCGTTTCTTCCACCAGGACCCACAACTCAGGTAGTAAGGTCACACGGACCAATAGCACCCTGCATGTAGACACTCCTTGCTGCGCGCTCGGGTTGATCAAGGCACAGAAGAGGATCTCCTGCGAAACACAACGCGGCGCTTGGCCCGCTTGGCGCCGCGGGAACGCGCGACGCCGAGATCCACGAGGCCCTGTGAATGAAAGCCCTACGCGGTGTCCATCTTCAAAAGAATGGGATCAGATCAGTGAAAACCCTGGGTTTTCTGCGTCACTGGATGTTTCACCTGGTTTCCAGGTCTTCCAGGTCGCTTGTGACCCGGTGTGACTTCACCCAGTCGCTGCGCGTGGTTCCATGCTAGGTATAAAATGGTACAAAGATATGTCTGGCTCAAGTTGCTCAAGTGTTTTTTGTCGCATTTTTATCATCACCGCCACCACATGAAAGATCGAACCCACCATCTCCACCCTCGAAGCAAGCGTCTCCCCACCTCCCCTCTCCCCACCCACCCGCCGAAATCCATGTTCCCCGCTCGTCTCCTGCATGCTGATCACCTCCCAGGGACCATCCTTAAAGAGCCCCAGCTCCGCCAGGCGCGGCAGCCGCTGGGGCAACAGCTGCCGCCGCTGCGCCTCCTCCAAGCTCCTTGGATCGGTGCGCGGTGCGCGCGGGAGGGATCGGCGGCAGGGCGGGCGATGCAGCGAGGAAGGGCGGAAGGCCCCAAGACTCCCTGGAGGAATTGGTTGTTCTGCTTGTGAAGGACCTCAAAGGTCCATGGGGCACGAGAGGTGGAGAAAAAACCTTTTGGACACCTTGGTGTCAACCAACTATTTCGCAGCAAGGCAGAAGTGGTGCATGGTTGGAAGATCTCCAAGTTCGCGATGTGGATGAGCCCTGAGTCTTTGTGAAACAATGCTGGAAAAGGTAGAAAAGCAAATCAATTTCATCTTAAAGACTTGGTCATGGTCATACACCAAAAGTGAGCTCTCCTCAATGCCCAGAAGACCAGAGATGGAGTCTAAACCCTCTTGCACAGAATGGTTGCCAAATCCAAACACCAAGATATATAAGACCAAGAATCCTGGTGCCCCAACCTCTCTGACATCACCTGCCACCTGCAGCCAAGGTGCATGGGCCGACGCACCAACCCCGCGCGATGCCAGTGGTTCTCGTGCACGGCTCGCTCGTCCCCTCGGCTTGGAACGGATGTGATGCGACGTGGCAGGGGCAGCCTCCGTTGGGTTCGGCGCCCGTCTCTCGCAAATGACCGTGCCAACGATCCCAAAAAGAAAGAAGAATTGGTATGCACTAGCTTCTTCCAAGTCACCGTGTTGGAATCCCTAAGTGACCTATGACAGGCCTGTTTGTGACCTCAAGCCAGGGGATCAAGTTGGGTCACGAACAGAAGAACCAGGTAGGAAAATGCATCTTTGTAGTGGAAAATGCATCTTTCAACTATCCCGTCTATCCCTGAACTGTTCCTGTTGGTGCTTCCACTCTGCTTCGACCGTCGGCCCCCAGGCTCTGCTCGGGTTCCGCCGCGCTCGGGTTCGGCCGCTCGAATGCCCAAGCGTCGATCGTAGACCATGTCCACGTCGCACTGGCTCTCGCCCGCCACGTTGGGGTCCGCCACGGCGGAGATGACCAAGGACTCATCTGACCGGGTTTCGCCACATGGCGAGGCCGAGGTTTTGGCGTTTTTTTCGGGGCGAGAGACGTTGAAAGCCCAAGTCAGAACCCTTCTGAGAGGTGACCTTGGTGACCTGATAGATAGGACTCGACCCTAACCTGGGGTACCCAACTGGGATGAGATGGTCGAACTAGGATTCTGAAAACGTTGGGAAGGTGAGAGAAGGAGGCGAACATGCGAACAGGCTTCGGCTTAGGCGCTGTTCCGGCCTTGTCTTTGGAGGATTCCACTGGAAATCCCACAAGTAGCACTGTACCAGTTACCAGGTGTTGAGCATGATTAAGAGAAAAGAATAGAAAAACATTGAGCGGTTCCTATCTCCGTCTTCAACAATCGGTCTTGAGTCAAGATCGATCGCTTCCATATCTTTTAACTCATGAAGCAAATAACTGTTCAATTCAGTAATCTGTCTTATGTGTTTTCTTGGATTTCTTCCACCAAGCCTTGGCAGCCGCTCACCACCACCACCGCCACCACCACCACCACCACCATTGGGCCCCTCGATCCACATCGGCACCGGGCGCAGCCGGGCACCCTCTCCCAGGGCGCCTTGGAGAAATGCGAAGCGGTCCTCGAACCTCGGAGAACAGAGGTCAGGTGGAGGCACCACAGCACACACACCCGGATGTTGGTCCCACGGATGTGGGAGGAGAGGAAAAAAGTAAAACAGCACGACAAGCGATTTTGGGGGAGACCTATGGCCTATAGGGATCCTATTGGAGGAACATCCAGGAGGAAACTTCTTTGGGCTAGCCAGACCAGAAACATCCGAAGATGGTGCCTTAGTCACTGATTAAGTCAGCTTGCTCTTCTCCCGTGCCACTTTGGCTGGTTCCTTTCCAATCTCGCATGCGCTTCGTTGTCAGGTGAACCTTCCAGCTCGTTCTGCAAGGTCGACACTGGGGGTCCAAACGAGGTGGAACGAAAAAGGCGGAAAGATTGAGCCAAACATCCTTCGAATTATATAGATCAAAACGTGAAAACCCGATGCTTTTGAACCCACCTTGGCCAGAACGGTTCATCCTCCAATCGAGCCCCCTTGGCAAAATCCTTCGACTTCAGCACTTCAAGGATCGAAGACCGTTGTTTGTTTTTACCCCATTCACAAATTCACAAACAAAACCAAAACAATCCTGCACTAGCACCCGACTCTACAGGCTGTTAGTTGAGGGTTGTTGGACCGTGTCTCAGGTCTCAATTGGTGACCTATCGGAGGGTCTGGCAGAGGTTCTTCCATCCAGGTGATTAATTAGTAGAGGGGGCTTCATTCATCCACGGTTCACCCTAGTTCATTAGACTCTTGTTCAAGAGTGAAAACGCCCCATATCTTACAGTCCATGTTTTGGGTGGGCTTTCTTCGTGTTTGATGCTCCGGACCTCGTCATCCCCGCCGGGTGGCTGGTGGTTGTGGTCCGCCAGCCGGCTGCGCATGTCCGCGCGCACCCGCAGCACGGTGCCCCGCCGCGGGTGCGAGCCTCGGTCGGCGATGAAGGAGGCGTCCAAAGGGAGGCGTCCCGGCGTCCCTGTCGGTTTTCTGGTGAAGTCGTTGGTGGAGAAATGTGTTCTTTGGCGAAACAACAGAGCCTAAGTGGTTTTGAAAATAGAGACACGGGTGATGGAACTTCCTTTGGAGCCAGTGAAAATCTCTTGGGGCATGCCCAAGCCTTAAAAACTCAAATCCCTTGAGTACTTGACATTACTTGACCTCATGCCCTTCCATCAGCAGGTGTGACCCGCACCGTGCCCGCGCCTTCCATGGCACGCGTCCAGTCATCGAGGTTCATCTTCGTGCACTGCCGCAGCAAAAAGGGCTGCTCCACCGTTCCGCCTCGAGGCATCGGACGATGCCTACGCGCAAAGGCGCGCTCGCGAGCTGATCGGTGTAGAACGCACGACACATGGGGTATAGCTCTTTCCAGGCTGGGATCTTTGGATCAAACAAGATGACATTCATGGCACAATAACACCCAACTTGCCAAAAAAAACTTCAACACACTTGGAAGGAGCCGTACCATTATGGTGCGGTCAAACATCAAGGTACCGGCGCGAAGCCCAAGCACTGATGGGCTCATGGTCAAAGCTTGGGGAAGGAACTGCGTGAACCACGCAACGGCCCAAGTCTGTTTGCTTTTGGTGGCGTTGATCGGCGGCTTGGTGTAGTGTTGAAGTCCCCTATCCAGCTCCACTCCCACCTCAACCCCTCCCAACCCAGCCACAAAATGATCACCCCTCACCCCATCTTCTTCATTTCCAGGTCTCCATCTGCAGGAGACCAGAGCCACATCAGAATTGAGCGCAAGTAGATCACGGCCAAGATGTAGCACACGCCGCCCAGAAGCCTCAATGAGAGTCCGGCGCCCGAGCCGCCCGCCAGCTGCGTCCAGAACTGCCACCCTTCGGAAGATGGGAACATGGTGGAACCACCACTGTCCCTGTCTTTCTTCCAACACATTCCTCTTGCATGAGCAGATTCATATAGCCGAGACACCTTTCTCCTTCCGTTGCTCCGTCCCCAAAAAGGGGCCACCCGACCACCGATTTCGCCGAAGTCAGACGGACCGAGCTGCAGGATCAGGGCGTCCTGGCGGTCCACGGCGCCGTCTCGCAGGGCCAAGAACAGGAGCAGCACCGAGGCCACGTAGAAGAAGATGTCCTCGGCCGCCCCACCAACGGCGCCGCTTTCACGGCCCAGTTTCGGCCGCGGTCTCGACCGCGCGGGTCTTCACCCCGCGGGTCTGACCCGGGAAGTGTTCGCGGCGAACGAAGGAACGAACGTTCAGCGCGGCTTCGGTTTCGGTCCTCCTATCGCGGTGCGCGGGCATAGCGGGGTGCCGTAGCGCGGGGGGACGGGGATGTTGCCATGGTGGTTGTTCAAACGAAGCATGGCAGCTCATTCCAGGACCTTCCAAAGGATCACCTATAGCTGGACCCTACGCTACTGGACATGGTGTCCATTTGGTAGGCCGAACAATGGGCCCAGGTTCTTGCCTTTTAATGGTAAAACTCCCAGTTCTGGAAACGTTCAGGACGGGTGGACTCAAAGAGGAAGGAAGGACTGAAAGAACGGTCGTCCAAGTGGAAGTACAGCATATATAAGGCAAACAATCAATTCCAGGACCTTTCCAGTGACCTCTTCAGGATTGGTAAGTGACCTTTTCAAGGCCCAAGTGACCTCATTCTGGGATCTCAAAAGGTCACTGGGAAGGTCCTGGTTTGGACCGAATCCATGCGCGTTGCTTGACTCAAATCCAGAAGATCTCTTTGCACAGGAAGATTCCTGCTAAAAGCCCGACCCACCCAACTAACCCGCAAAAAGGCGCATATCAAAAAGAACAAAAAAGATACGTTCCTTTGACATCCTTTGACCATATATACAGAAGAAGGCTCGCGAAAGAAGGAGGTCTTGCTCAACTTCAAGGGCATGTAGTCCTTGGGCGTGGCGAGCACCGCCGTGCCGATGATCACCAAGACGTTGAAGACCTCCGGGACGACTCGGTGGTCTTCACGCAATGACGTCCACGCGCTGGTCGCTTGGTGGGGCAGGAGCGGCTGTGGGCGAACATGAGGTCTGCTGCAGAATGTGGGATAATTAATCAGCTGGAGAATGCGGGGACATTGGAAATCTGTCTGGAAATCCCTTCAGGTTGAGAGCAACCCTTCATGTTGAGCCTCAAGCCAGAAATCACCCTTGATCAACCCTGTGCTGTCGGGAAAATACCCCCATGTTTGAGCCACTATGGTGATGCTTTGAGGAAAGCTATCTTCAAATCTCGCGTGTCCTGTACTTAGCGCTTGACTGGGTCCAACACCACTGAAGAGCCCCAAAGTGGCCCACGCATGCCCAAGCAATCTCCGGACTGCGAAGACCCACTGCAGAGTTCGATCCAGCCTCGCCGCCGACTACTGCGCCCACACCAATGCTGGAAGGCTTCCAAATGTTGATCCTCAGTCGCCAGGACAGCAACACCTCGATTGTCATCCAACAGCAAGAAGTGTCCCAGATTACAGTCTACATTAGGGAAGCTCGTTCCCACGCCTCCAAAAATACATGCTGAGAGCTGTCCTCCTGCCATCCCCCCTGCCCAGTTCCATCCATCACCCCGTCTCCAAGGCACATATTCAGCGCCAGCTCTGGACCGTTGCAGCCCAGCGCCATCAGCGTGGCGCCCGCCACGTCGTCGGGGATCCCGAAGCGCTCGCAGATCACCTGCCGCCGTCGCAGATCCCGGCGGAATCCGCGGGAAGCGAGGACCCCGGAGGACCTGTTCATATTAGCAATGGCCTCCGACCCAATAGCGATGGCCTCCAAACCCAAAGAATTCCTGCTCATATCTGGAGGTTCCTGGATTCTTTTCATTCTGATATGTTTCTCCAAAACATGGAACCCGAAGGCGTGAAAACGGAGCGAGTCCATTCGCGCCGGCGAGTTCCGCCGAGCTCGGGGGGACGTGGAAGAGCCTCGATGGTGCGCACGAAGTGCAAATCGCAGACCTGCGAGGCCGTTGCTTGCGTGTCGCTCGCACCATGCAGCTGGAGGCAGCTGGGAGGCACGGCTGGGTTGGACAGGTGCCCTGCTTGGCCAGGTTCCCCCACTGGTGGAGCCTAAGGGGGAGACCTTGGACCGCAAACGAAAGTCATGGAGGACGTGGATGTGGATGGCTTCTTAAATGGATTGGCACAGCACAAACAAAGTTTCAAGATCTTTCGACTGGACTCCAGACAGATTATGTTGTATGCAACATGATGCTTAAAGGAGACTCGCTGGTCTGCGAAAACCTTTGAACAGAAAGAACCCGAGAAATTAAGACCTGAGAACCCAAGAGTCGTCTCAAGCAGATCTCACGCAAGCAAGGGACATGAGCCATGCTCCAAAAGAGGTAGAGAATCGCTGGCCTCAGTCGTCTCGGTCGTAGGTCGGCCACGATTGACCCCGACGGACCCGCCGATGAGACTCGGTCGGGGGGCCCGCAAGCTGAGGATCGCGAACGACCGAGGAGCGCGTCCGGACGATCGCGTCCGGGCGATCGATCGGAACTGAGCCCGGAAGTCCAAGAGGATCTTTGTGATATACGTCGCCGGTCTTTTGGTCTCTCTCCCTGGGCCGAACCGCTCTCGCCGGTCTCCCCACAAGCACTTTTTCAGACGTAAGTCGAAAAATCAACCCGCGATGATGAAGAGGTTGTGCAATCCAAATAAAGGGGGTAATCAAGAGTCTACATGCCTAGAACCTGAGTGCATCGTGTTTTGGAGGATCAACATGGATCAACTATCCAACAAATTCCCATTTCCTACCAAAACAAAGGTCACAAGGGTTCTACATAAGTCCAGGTGGCCACCAGAGCCAGCGCCACGGCGATGTCGCCCTCTCTGCCTCTTCAACCGACCAATCTGCCTCTTCCGCGCTTGGCGCAGACAAGGCTGCAGGTGGCTCAGACCTCCCAGTCTGCATGAAGAAGGAGACTGCATGGCATAGAAACTGCCAAGTTCTACATACATGGGATGTTACCCGAATCCAGCTTTCTTTGGGATCAGAGATCATCGGTGTATGGGTCACCTGGGCCCATCTAGGGTCATCTGGGATGGCAAGGCCTTTGAAAGCTCTTCACCCTGAAAGAGGCCTGGCAAGCATGGCGTACGGCAAGCTGCTGTTCGGCATGCCGTTCGGCACGCGCGCTGCCCGGCCGCGCGCGGCCTGCAGTCTCAAGTTTCCAAACAGAACCAGGGCTGGGCCCCCAAACACCGGCTGGGCCCTTCTTCAGAAGGGCCCTTGAACTGGTCACCATGGCCCTTTCTGAAGGTGGAGATGTATCAGAATGTCCTTGGGATGCATTTATATATATATATACATATAAAGGTTGCATTGGGATCAAAACGGTCGTTGCAAAGCTACTCTGATCTTCCAAAGGCTGAGCCCGTAGGCTTGATACTCCAAAAAACGCGACGTCTGCTCAAAACATGTTGCTCTCATAAGAGATCATGTAGACTCTTGATTTAACAAATCCCCTCACCTTGAATTGGAAATCCCATTCATATTTTTGTCATGCTTGGTCAGCTAAAGGGAAAACCAACGCTTGGATTCAAGCTCCCCAGCCCCCCAGGACCACGAACCTGTCAGTGCACTCAGTTGGGGGGTGTATTAATCTTAAGAGTCTACATGGCTCCACCAGTCACCTGGACCCGACGACCCCCGCTCACGACCGGTCTCCAGCACCTCGGCGCTCATCTCGCCCCACTGCGCCAGAGACTTCCTGCACGGCTGAGGCGGGCGGTGCTTGAGGCGATGTGGGGGGAACCTGAAGAGTTGATCCATGGAGACTCTTGATTCATCTTGATTCATACACCCTCCCCATTTGGGTTGAAACCTCTCTTCATTTTGGGAATTCTATTCATCAAGCGTCTACAACATGGAGTCTTCACATCTTCCACCGCACGAATTCCCCAGATCCCAAGTGAGGACCCTGCATAGGATTTTTTTGGGCCAGGGAGCGCTGGCCAAATGCCAGACCCCCCAGGTCACCAAACCGACCCTCACATGGCCCCGCTTTGGACCCATGGCTCCTAACAAAAAGAAAAGAGGAGACAAACCTCTCGAAAGGCTTTAAGGGTCGAATGGGAACTCTTCTCTTCGACCCACTTCCTTGGCAGCAGTGCGCCGCAGCATGCGGCAGGCACGTGCAGGTGCAGGAAATGATGCCGTTTTGTTCCAGGGACATGATGCTGTCATCTTTGCGTGACAGCACATTTACTGCTTCTCTGATCAGCCAACATGACGAATCATCCGCAACTTCTGAAAAGCACAAACAATTCATAGGGCCATAGTAGGGGAGGAATCTGTGGATAGAAAGACTTCCATCCACCTTACTCCGACATATTCGCTTCTCCGACTTACTGGGTGGTTCGAAAAACACCCACTCCGGCTTCACGGCACCCCGAAGTGCTCCCTGGGCTTTAGCTCCAAGAAACTCCTCCGAAGGACCCCCCTCCGGGTCTTGCGTGAGATTCGTCCACCCAGAAGGGGCTGCAGCAGAAGGGGCTGCACGCCCCACACCGCGCAGGCCCGTGCCGTATAGGAGCCTTGGGGCAGGATACAGAAACACGTAGTGGCCATAGATCAAAGCCCTGCCGTCACGAAGATGGCCCTAAAGCCCCGCTTCGAAGTCCGAAGAAAAGAAGACCTCCAAGTCAAAAAGGTTGTACCCGCCCCCCTGCAGACTAACAGGAACCCTGAAAACGACCCCGTGGATAGAGCATTGACCTCTACAACCCCCGTGGTTTTGAGACTCAATCTGAGGAGAGTACTATACTTCAAAGTAGAGAACCCAACGGCATGCTTCGTTGCAAGAGCCCAAAAGAACAAAAGTCTCTCCTCCGAGAAGCTCGACCGGGCCACCATTCGCCCGACCGAGTTCGAGCGCCGCCAGCCACATGGGCGGAAGCATCCACGGCCAGCGCCCCATGGTCACACGAGGTCGCGAGCGGGCTCTCCGCACGCACGCGCACGCACGCGCGCCAGCGCGCCGGTGACAGGTGTCAGCTGTCAGGAACGGTCGTGGTTCGTTGGCGGAGTTGACCCGCGTTTCGGGGGGGTTCGAGGGTTGGCTGCCCAAGCTGATGCAAGCTTTCAAGAAAAGAACAATGAGACAATGATGCACAAGAAAACCATCCGCATGTGTACAAAAACATACACCGTCATCGAGACACATCCTCTCTTTGACCTGAACTGGTGGCATTGCAGAAAGAATCTCGAGGCCAATGATTCGTTTAGACTTCGCTATCCATTCGATCTTTATGAAAGCTAACGCCTGCAGATGCCGATTCCGGCAGCTTCAAGCGGGAACCCTTCAAACCCTTCTCTCGAGAAAATCCGGATCGTGGAGCCCAAAAAGGAAGAGCATCCCAATTCACAAGCAAGGTCCGAAAGGAGGTCCCAAAACCAGTTCTTCTTCATGTGGTCGCTTTTCGTATTACCGGTTGAATCGGTTCAAAGAAGATTCACAGATTCAATTTCGAGGAGTCGAGGGGATCACTGCAGACTCTACACGAAAGGGAGACTCTTCTCCGACTCGTTAAGAGCATTCGGGTGCACGTTTGTCTCGTCGGCCTCAAATGGTTGGGTTCCTTCTCCCAAAAAGAAACATACCAGGACTCAGGACCCCACCTGTTTGGGACGTCTATTCATGGCAGTTTGTTTCCCAGATTTGATTTGGGGTGTCCATGAAAACACCCAACCTCCAGATCCTGGCACCACCACTCGTGGCTCCCCCTCCTTGGCCCCATCGTAGAGCCTCAGCACGTACTTCCCGCGAGGGTTCACCTCTTTGGTCCTGGGCGAGGCCGAGCCAAACCCGGAGGTGGAGGCGAACCCTCGGGACGTGAAGTCCGAGGTCCGTTGAGCACCACCTACTAAAGTACCTAATTTATACAGTACACGATCGTATAAACACGATTCTGGACATGGTTGTTTCTTCCATGTTCTTCCATCTCCTCCCATTTCCCTTTCCCTCCCCTCAGAGCGGCCTGAAGACCGCCTGGATGGCCCCGTCGTGCTCTGCCATGCAGGCGATGGCCGCCAGCAGCCAGCAGTCGCCCAGGGCTCCTCGACCGGTCGACGGACCGGGCTCCACAGGGATGATTCCTCAAAACCCCCCAAAGCCCTGATCCAGTGGCGAGGAAGGAGACACTGAGACATGTAGGCCGACCACGGGTTGCACCGCTGAGAGTTGAGAGTACCAGCATCGGTCCCTGTCCATCCAGTGAGCACTGCTTCTCCATCCAGTTCCACGGTCGGGGGGTCCGCGGCACCCGTGGCCGACCCGAACTCCGGGCGCCGGCCACGGGCCCGTGCCCTTGCCGGAGGCCTTCGGTTGGTAACCGAAGGTTATATACGCTCGCCGCCCTGTTTGAAGTCCCATCCAGTACCCTATTACCGGCCTGTTTGTGACCTCAAACCAGGGAATCAAGTTGGGTCAATTAGAAAAACCAGGTATATGGTTGTATTTTATACATCTTGTACCGACTGGCACAAAACAGGGACCTCAAAAGGGTCAAAAGTAGGGCTGACTTAATAGGGGAACCGACCCACCAATGGATTTCGGCTGTTTTTGATTTGTTCACCAAAGGTCTGACTTGGGGTTGCCCCCAGATCCCTGCTCTAATACACCCCCTCAAGGCTGAGGCCCTTTTCTTCCGATGTTCGATCCGTCTTTCATCAACCCCCCCACCATCTGCAGGGATTGGGTCAAACATCTGCGACGCCTTTCGTTGGCCACTCCTTTTTGATCTATGCCCATCTGAGCATGGAGTTAGTGTTAAAAAAATGTTTGATGAACTCCTGGATCCAAGGGGTGGTTCATGGACACCACTTGACCTTTAAGGGGCTATATGAATGGACACCTTGACTCCGTGGTGCTGGCTGTCATCATCTGAAGTGGACTGGAGTCTGCAGCTCATTTGCTCCCCTTCGACACCCCCATCCGTCCTTGGCAGATGTCCCGGCTATCAATCTCCCGACTAAAGAGCTGCATGTGCCTCTTGTTGCCCTGACACCAACGAGCGCGGAGCGTCAAGAAAAGCGAGCCATAGCACCCAAAAGCATCCAAGAAAACGCCAACCAAACCGTGCTTCTCTGGCGACCGCTTCTTGCTCACAGACGTGCCGGCCCCGGGAGACCCGGAAGGACAGGGCCTTCTCGTCCTTGGGCACTGGAAACTTGCCGCCCCTGCGGACCGGGTCGGCGGACCCGGGGAGAAGGCGCCGGTGGAACCGGGCGATGCTTTCAGGGTTCACATGCACCCCTACTGATGCAGGTTTTACACGTGCTCTATCTGCAGCCCAGATTGGCACCAGTACTGACTGGTACCCAGCGTCACTAAATAGTAAAAAGACACATCTCACTCCTTTCACTTTCCTTCTCCACCTCCATGGTACCAGCCTCAGCCTCATGCGCTTGCCTCACCACTCCCCGGGCCTCACCCAGGTCACCTTGCCGGCGAACTGCTTGGCTGGCGGCCAGACGCTCGGGGCTCCGTGGTCCGGCCGGAGTTGGGGTGGTGGAATGGACAGAAAGAATCACCCTCTCTATCTGCATAAGGGGCTATCTAATATAGCTACATATATAATATATAGCTATATAGAATCATCTCTCTATGAATGGAGACCCGAAATCCGTGGTGCTCGTACAAAATGATGTGAAGAACACCGGGTATAGGGACCCTTGAAAGAAGAGTTTTTTCATGCGGACAGCATGTTCCAGACAGCGCAGTCGTTGTGGGAATGTACCAGAATGAGTGCAAACCGAGAACAGGATTGTTGTAGCCTTTGAACACGAACCAAGTAACCCTTGAGGAGAAGGTTGAACTTCTACACAACAACATCACTATTCAACTATTCAACATCCAACAACGAAGCACGAGCACCTACTAGTTACTAGTACTAGCACGCTCCAACCCCGTGTTTATCCCTTTTTCATTAGCCACACCAGAAGTCCCATCTCCCCTCATCCCATTGCCCCCCTACCTATCCTAGCTGCCGGTCATCCGCCCCCAGTCATCCCCATCCCCATCCTGATCCCTGCACCTTCATCCCCAGCAGAGTCTCCCTTCACATCCCCCAGCGAGAGCTCCTCCGGTGGGAAGTCCTGATTCCGGCGGACACGCCGACCATCTACGCGCCTCTGGACGTCACCCGCGCTTCTCAGAAGACCGACCCACAGTTCCCAGTGACCTTGCTGGAGTCCTATCCAGTGACCTTTTTTGGAGGCCTGTTTGTGACCTCGAAACTAAGGGGAAGATCCAGGGAAACACATGTTGTCACGCCGATGAGGGAGTGTGGTGCCCGACGGCCGAGTTGTACGGAGGGAAGGGTTCGGAGGGGGAACCCCTTGTAACCATCCACTATCCACCATCGGCTCACTGGAACAGGACCCCAAAAATAGAACTTCCTTTGCTGGTTCTTCTAAGTGACCCAACTTGATGTTCTGGTTTGAGGTCACAGGCCTCCAAAAAGGTCCCTGGATGGGACTCCAAAAAGGTCACTCGGAAGAAGCTGGTTTGTATGAATCAACCAAGGACCAGGAGTCACATGTCGGGGTGGCTCGTCCCATCCAGTGGATGTGGATCAGTGGATGTTCTGGGCACCCCGACTTCCTCCATGGATAGCACTCCAACTCCATGGAATTGCTGGAAAGGAGATCTTTCTCTACCATGGGATGATATACAACTTGGCCATTCTAATCATTGGCCCGGTCTTGCCACCCACTCAATCCGGCATCCCCCGCAATCCGGCATCCGCAATCCGCCATCCCCCGCAGATATGCGCCTTGTCGGTATACAACCAACAGCAGTTGAAGGCTCTGCACAGACAACAGCAGAACTTGTAGAGGCCGCGGTTCATGTAAACCCGCGCACATCCGCAGCCTCGTTCGGCGAGAAAGATCCCAACCGAACACACCAGGCTGTGACAGTGTCTGGAAGACGAGGACCATCGTTTGCGGCAAAATAGACCACCAAAACTTCCCAAAAGAGGACCCCTGGACCCCACAACGAGCTGTGCTTTCAGGTCAATGACAACACCACCGTTGCCAAACGCTAGCAGCAGAGCAACTACTTCAAACTTCAGCGCCATCCACACACCAGGGTGCTGGATGGGCCAATGGCTTTTTGGCCGCAGCCGTCGGACAGGCTGAGGGCTGGGCAGTAGATGCTGCCCGCCCAGCAGCAAAGGACAAAGGGGCAGCAAATGGTGTTGTAAAAACAACACCTGAGCGGCTCGCGGCGCCACGGCTCGTCCGAACCCACGCCCGAACGACGCGAAACACGGAGGCCACGACGGCCGAGCACGGAGCACGGATCGCTCCGGACCCTGAAGGAAAAGTGTGGTTTACGCCAACATCTACGCTCACGATAAAACGCCATGACTGAAGCATGGTCTCCCTCGCTCTCCCTTTTCCTCTCTCCTCTCTCTCTGTCTCTATCTTCCTCTCTCTCTCTCTCTCTCTCGCTCTCCCTCCTCTGAACCCCTTGGTTTAGTTTCTGAACCGGAGTTCCTGAACTGTCAAAGCTAGCTGTTTTTGGGGGAGTTCCTTGCCGTGTTGAGGCACCGGACGCTCTGCCCACCATGAGCTTCTGCCAGCAGCAGATGGTGTCCTGACATGCGTCACGCTACGTGGACCCTGAAAACCACTGGGGGACAGACCGTCAGATCTCAGGGAGTTTGCCCAGTCGAACTCCCTTGGGGTCCGGCTGCGACACGCGCCTGGAGCCTGGAGCCTGGAGCCTTCGGAAGGGCCGACGCGCGTGAGCCGAAGTCCGCACCCCCACCTTCCAGGTCAGCGACATGACGGGGAAGGGGCCGCAAGGGCTGGGAAGACTCCTGTCCCCGGAGCTCGTCCAAGTTTGAGTGAGAAGTCGTCAGTGTCCTGATCAACTTCAACACCTGAAATTGTTTACCATGAGAGTGCCCATGTGCAATGCCTCATGCTAAAGCTGCCTTGCCTGAGCTCTGTGTGTGTGTTTTGCTGAAGACATATTTCGCTGTGATCCACCAACTCGAAAGCCGCAACGCTGGAAGTCTGGGAGGAACCCCTCTGGCCTTGCCATTTCGTCCAGCGAAACAAGGAAAGAAAAGGAAAGAACGATCTCTTCTGTGAAGCTTTGGCAGCAGGACCAATGGACTGGGGACCAGCGGACCAGGGATTGGCCAGAGAACCAGGGGGCCCGGGAATCATCTCTTGTGATCTTTTATGTTTGGACCAAGTTCACCCAAGTTCATCCCGTTTGGGATGAACTCGCAGGCTCCAAACTCGAACAGGGAGGAATGGCGGTAGTGTTGATGTTCATGCCCCCTCTAGAAGCCCGCGCCCGCGGGGTCACTTTCCCACATCAATCAGGCCCAGTGTCATTTCAAAATACATAGATGCCCCCTGGTACCCATGTTGTATGTCAAAAGTTACATGTCATTCGTCCAACAGGAGTAATGCACTCCCGCGCATGTTTGATGACAAACCAACGGCGCCATTTTGCGTGGCATTTTGCAGGTGTAGAGATGACATGTTGGGCGTATCCCCTTCCAAACCAACAGTGGATGATGATGGTCTTGACTAAGGAAAAGGCAGAACCAAAGTTTTAACCAAACAAGGTGCCGTAACCTCTACGCCTCCCAAAAAAGATCGCCCTTCCCTCACGCAAACCCCTCCCCCTTCAATCCCAGCCCCTTTTCTCGTTGCATCGAATCGAACCCACCAATTCAGGGCCTTTCCTCAGCGCATCTCAGCGCATCTCAGCGCTGCCCGGCGTGTCCAACCCCCAACCGACCCTGGAGAGGAGAAACAGACTCGTTCGATGGGTCGCATGTTTACGGAGCTGTTCACGGAGCTGTTGAGCCATCCCGCAGGTCGCATGTCACCAGCTGTTGCGGACACCGTGGACCCGCCGGGGCAGGGCCGGAGCCTCATTGACTTCGCCAGAGGGTTCTCTTTGAGTGTCCCTCGCTCAAGGGCTGAGCGCAGTGACGAATGGCTCTTGGAGCGCAGTGATCACTGACTTTCTCAGCCGAGACCTTGGTCTGACCTTCTCGGAAAGATGGTGCTGTGAAGTATTGACTTTGCCGGCCAAGCCGGCGAGGATGTCCCCACACTTTTGCAAGCTACAAAAGAGATTCAGGATGCCCTAAAGACAGCTTCATTTGTTTCTCCTATGTAGCAAGTGGCTGCATCACTGCAAGGTGGCTCAAAGAGCCTCTTGATTTCACATGGAGACAGTCCTAAAAGAGCCTAACAGTCGGAGACTCGGACATACACCAGCAGGGCCAGCCAGCTGGCTGGCTGCCCGGCCTCTGCCCAACCGCGCCCAACCGAACTGCCCCCCCAACCCCGCCAGGGCCGGTCTAGCGGAAGGAGCCCAACGAGTTCCGGCGGCCCTTGTGGATCACCGCAGCTAGCTCCGTCTCGCCGGGATCGCCTCGAGGTCGGCCCGTCATCGGTCGCTTCGGGGCGGGAATGGCTTAAGCTGAGGGATGGGATGAAAACGGAGGTCAGAATTGTTGTAGACTTCAAATGGCTTTCCCCATCCCCTCCCCAATTCGAGTCGAAGGGACGCCGCGCATGGATGGCGTCCAAATGACTCAACCTGGACTACATGGTTGGAGTCGGAAGGCCCGAACAGGAACCGCCCCACCGAAACGCCCGAAAGACCGGTTCTCGGAAACGCACCGCACACCGCACCCGCGCCGTGGTTCCGCTCTTCGGCCTGCGTCCCACGTCATCGGTCGCATCTTTTGGCCTCGGGACCGTCGCCCCCGGTCGGGATGGACCGACCGTGAGCGGTGGGAACGGCCGAAAACGCCAGGAGACCCCAGGGAGGCGAAGAAGGAGCATCCAAAAGGACTCCAAGGGCTCTGAAAGTGACTGAAAGTGATGAAGAAGACGATGTGACGGAGTTTATTGAGACATCCCTGGTGAGACCCCAGTCATGATGCCATGGACACCTCCCCCAAAAGCCTCTGCCGTCGTGTCCAATCACTGGGGGCCTTTTCGACCGAGTGGTCCTAGGACCGACTGGATGCCCAGGGTCCTTCCAGCCACTGAACACATCTGAACACCACCTGACCCCGGAACGGTTGAAACAGGAAACACCTCAGCAGCTCAGAGTCTCAAACAGTGACCTCGGTGGGATCTTCAGGTGTGGCCCCTCCAAAGGCCGTGGTTGAGGCGGTTTGGAGGTGGTTTGGAGGTGCCGAACTGGGAGGATAGGGGTGCCCATGATCCACTCAATTGGGGAATCACTTGCATCCTCTTTGAAACTGCTGGTGGGCCGGTAGTGAGTCGCGGAAGTTTCGTCCATCAGCTCCTTTTGGTTGCACAGCGGAGCGTCCTTTCAAGCCGGAGACCGGAGACCCGATTGATGAGATGGACCAGGAATCTCGGGCGGTTCCTGTCTGTTTCAAAGTCACTCGAGCCGCTGCCAGACCTCTGAAAAGACATCCAACACATCTGGGCAGCCCTTGCTGGCAGTCAGCTCCTGCATGTACGTGCGGACGCGATGCGCGCGCGAACGATGTTCAGCCTGGTTTCGTCTTGAAGAGTCTTGCATGTTGCTGAACATGGAGCAAGGAACAGTCGGAGAGAAAATGGTTGCATGTCACATACGACTCATACGACTCACAAAAGTCGCAAATCATCAAATCACTCGACAATGACCTGTATGACAAACCTCAACCAGTGAGGGAAACGTTCGGAAGAGCTGGGTCCCAAACCCAGACAATACAGATTTCTTTCGTACCGTGAATATGTTCGTCGTTGGTGGTTTATATAGACCCCCATCTATCTAAGACATCTTGGGGCGCCAGTGCCATCTAGTCTGAAACCGCAAATGGAACAAATGAGAAGACCCAGACCTGATCGCAAGACCTGTCGCGTCCAACGACCCATGTGGAACGCATGTGTCCGCCTCCGCCTCCGGGGCGCTCTCATCCCAAGGACCCTCGCTTCAGACCTGGAGACCAGGCCCAGCTGGGCCTCCTCCTCGTCGCTGGTATTGAGGTGCACGTGCCCATTCGTGTGCGCCGGCATGACGAAGGGAGGCGGCATGTCAAAAGCGGCCAAGTGTCCCTTGGTTTCAGACACGTTCCGCCCACCCTGCGACCCCTCCTGTCCATTGGGAAGCATCCATCAATAGGAGGACCAAGGGTGTCCAGCCAACGTGAATCATTCACTTCGAAGCGATTACTCAGGGTGTCCCACCCGACTTTTTTGCACCGGAACATCTTTGCTGGTAGAAGCAGGGGAGGACAAAAATCGAGCGCAGTGGTCTGCCTGGGCCAATTTGGGCCCTCAAATCTCGTCCCTCATGGTCGAGCCAGTTCTCCACAGGAGACTAAAGAATGATAATAAGTCTGGCCTGGTGACTAGTGGGTACTGACCGAAAGTCTACAGTGGGTATCATGGTGAGGAAAAAATGGTTCATGGCAGCCTCATGTTTCTTGTTCTTTTCGAAGACAACGCTCCACCAACTCATCCCACCAAAATCACAGAAGCTCTCCCAGTATGCGCAAAGTTCGGGGTGTCATGGCCCCTCAGAGAGCATTCAGGGCCTGGTCACAGTGGGGGGGCCCTGATATTCAGGCGTCAGCCACACTGGAAACCACTGACCTCTCAAGCACGGTGACCCGTCGTGCGACTCCCCCCCCCGGCTGTGGTACGTCTGGGCATCCGCGCGATGCGTCGGACGATCACCTGAGCAGCACCGAGCGGTCTTGAAGACCCGCTGAGCTCGGCTGGATAGGCGGCCAGCACCCGTTCAAACCCAAAACCCGCGAAGCATGGAGCGCTTTGGAACCCGTGTGCCACCGGTGGACCCTTGCGAAAGATCCGCCCAGCTGAAGGCTGCCGGCACCTTCGGAGGGTTTCTCTGTGGCTCCATGCTCCAGCTCCGAGCTGGCACACCCAGAGCTGGCACACCGAAGTTCGCCGAAGTTCGGGCACGCGCCGACTCGCTGAGCGTCCACACCGGTTCGGTTTCCTCAGGGGCGATCCGGACACCACGAACGACTTCTCCGTCCCGTCCCGCGGACCGCCAGGGGGGGGGCCGGCGATCCTCGCGGATGGAACATAGAAACCTCGGAGCCAGGTGGACTCTTCACCTGGAAACGAACCGTTTCCCAACGGCCACCAGGAGCACCCAGTTCGGGCGGTTCAGAGTCAGTGCAGTCAGGGATGTCCAACAAAAGACCCTTCCGTGGTGCTGGTGTCCTTCAAGTTGATTGGTTGCACCTTTGGTTCATCCAATTGGTCTTGTGGCCAGTCCCGGAAAGTGTGGCGCCAAGAGCCCAGTACCGTACGATATGGGAGGAGGATGGAAGAGGCTCATTTTGGGAACACAACAATCCTTTCGCCCGTATGATATGATATGGGCAGTGCCCGTGTGAGTCGAGGAAAAGCGCCGGCAGGGTTGTGCAGAGCGCTGAGTGCCCCGGCGACACGCATGCGCTTGGGCCCGGGGTCCGTGTTGATGTTGTTCACCAAGGCGAAGCTGTTCATTCTGCTGGAATCTCTGGAAGGTGACCTGGGCTCGCAGAAAAAGACCATGGGATGGGACCAGGTAAGCGTCGCTCCAACAGCCAGTCTTGAAGTCAGAAAAAATGCCAGTCTGATGAGAGTCGCCAAATGGGAAGGATCCGTCCCAACACGTGGGCCGCAACTCCTTTAAGGCCCATGCACCTTCTTAAAGCTGCGGATCAAGTTCGGTCACTTTGAAGAGCCAGGTCCCTGGCCCAGGCCTTCTCTCTACTTCAAAAACCCGAGTTTTCCACCCGCCACCCCCTTGCTGTTTCCCACGCCGGC